TAGGCGTGGTTGACTCTTAACTTTTATAAAGAATATCTCTTTGGATTTGAGACTTTAGTCTTTGCAACTTTACAGATCTTCTTTATGCACCAAGAGCTTGTAACACTCCAAAGGGAAAGGAAAAATTGAAATCGCATCATATGACCCCTTTAAACCTTTTTAAGGCAAAGTAAAGGAGTGCACTGAAGGGAACACAATACTTCAATATGTTCTCATAATGTAAATGTCTAGGTAGCAGAAAATGAGTTCTACGTTTTCTACATTTATTTACGCTTTGATTTGAATGAAAACAAATTATCCGTGTGGTGCTGCTGATACGCTGTTTGCGTTCAGTAGATCCTCTCCAAATTTTTTAATTAAGTCGTTATTTTTATTTTCTTTGAAAGAATTCTTTCAAAAAGTATTATTTGCGCTTTGCAAAATTGAAGTTGAGCCACTGATGTCACATGGACTGTTTTACCGATGTCCTTACTACGTTTCTGGGTCTGGGAACATTACAGTTGCGTTGCTGTCTATGCAGGGTGAGAGAGCTCTCAGATTTAATTAAAAATATCTTAATTTGAGTTCCGATGATGAACGAAGGTCTCACGGGTTTGGAACGCCATGAGGGTGAGTAATTAATGACAGACATTTTTGGGTGACTAACCCTTTAACAATAGTCTTTACAGAATAGTCTCAAAAAATAACATCTTTAACACTTGCCCAAAGCTGTCTTCCTCTTAATTACATGTTCTTAAAGGCCTAGCATGACATGAGACCCTGACAATCAATATAGACTACATCTGTAACTCAAGGGAACTCCACTTGTGACATCGACAGTCTGACTCAAGTGACAGCATAGATTCAGTGTATAACAATAAGTCCGGGTGACAAGGTCTTGTACTACAGTGTCAAGAGAGTGACAGCAGGGCTCAAAATCAATGCGACTTAGGTCGGCATCCCATTAGCTGGTTTTTCAGCCAATAGCTTCACTTATACAGTCACTGGAGTAACAGAATGAGTGAAAGTGGCCTGTCTTGAGTGCAAGATTTCAGCAAAAATAATGAGATGTACCCTACAAAAACCACGCTGTTTCCAAACAGCTAGTGGGGTGCCACCGTAACATCCTTTAAATGTGAGCAGAAATGGTGTATAATACCAGAAATGGGGAAGATCTCGCAGATGTAGACGCGCAACAGTCGCAGGCAGCAGGTGCCCACAAACCGCAGGCGCTCCAGGTCCAGAAGGGTGGCTGTGAACTGGAAGCCTTTGAGGCCCCTCAGCTCCTCCACCCCCAACACCAGCGTGGTCCAGCTCCAGTGCAGGACACTCAGCAGAGACTCGAAACAGTCCTGGGACAAGATCAAACACACACAACTGGGAAATTAACCAAGGATCTGACCTATTATTAACTAACTTGTTTGTTTGACTGCACAAAGCGGATAGGTCGCATGGAAAAAAGCACCAAGAGTCAAGGGATTTCCTTAAATAATAACAAGCAATAAAACACACTGAAGTACAAACCCCTTTTGAATTGGCTGCTGCGCATCTGTTGCTTGCCAATTTCTTCTTTTTTTTTTTTTACAGGCATAAGGATATTATATGGAAATTCAAACTAGTGTTGCTAATATATCCATTTCAGGAAACAGCAGGTCAAAATATCAGCATGAGTACATTTACGGGTCAATGACAAACAAGGTTACTAGAGATGAAAAGGAGATCTAATATATCTAATAATCTAATATAATATATATAATATCTCATTTAAAATATGTGCCAAGTTTTAGGTATATTTATGTCTATATATTATGCATAGTTGTCTATTTATGTGTATATTTATGTTTCAAAACTTTTTGAAAAACATTTAAACAAATTTCAACCAAATATGGATTCTATGCTGTAACCATCAAGTAAAAAGTAATAGAACATTTTCTGTACACCCTGAATACATGTGAGTGTACCAATTTTTACTATATTTAAAAATTATTTTCAAAATATAAGTCCAAAAATAATTTCCACAAAATTCATGAAATTTTGAATCACATATATTTTTGATGTTTTCTTTTGGTTTTTCCATTTAACAACACTGCCATGAAAAAAAGTCAAAATGTATACATTAAGTTGACTGATATATTATATATATAATATATCATTAATTTATTATGTTGGTTCATTTGGCAAAATCATTTTATATTATATTAAATTTAAAAAGTAATTATACAAAACTGCTTCACTGCTTGTTAAAAAAACAATTCAAGATTTGCAGACTTTATATTAAAAACAAGACTGTTACACCACTTAGACACTCAGAAGTTCAAAATATCACACAAAATATTAAACAATTTTAACTCATTCACCCGGTTCTATATTTGTATTTTTATACTGTAGAAATATATAAATTGCATATTGCATATTAGGGATGCTCCGATCCGCCTTTTTCGCCTCCAATACCGATTCCGATACCTATGGTTCGGTATTGGCCGATACCGATCCGATACCAGTGAAGTTTTTTTCCCCCATTTAAATAAATGTAGAATTTATATATCTCTGTGTGTGGAACTGATAATCATTCTTTCACAATCTACTAGATACAGACTACTTCATTATAAAGAAAAATAAAATAAACAATAAATATGAAAAAATATAGGCCTATGTATATTTATAATCTATGACAAAAATCTAGTTTATCTATCATAAACTAGGTTAGTGGATAATTCGGCAGCAAAAGTTATTCTAGAAAAATCAGTGCACAATAATTTTATCCAAACATTTAAATGAAAAAAACAATATTTTGTGGGGAACAAATAAAAGTGTTGCACTAAATATGGTAAAATGTTACACATTGCTATTTGTATTATACAATCCATTCATTAAAAACATTCATATATATGTTTAAGTATATACTATAAAATTAAAATACATTTCTTTTGAATGTATAGCATATTTTTTAATAAGGCAACAACATATGATAGATACGATAGGACAAAACACATACAGTGCAGCACGAACTGTTTTTATACAATCTGAGCACGAAGTGCTTACAATGTGCGCATCCGGTGTGCAGAATGATGCGCTTGAAGCAACCTGGCATCACAGCCTGCACACCGGATGCGCACATTGTAAGCAACACGGCGTCACGCCATGTTGCTTCAAGCGCATCATTCTGCACACCGGATG